TGAATAATATAGGATGCAATTTTTTGGAGCTGAAGAATATGAGATTTGCCGACCATATCTTAAATTTCCTTTTGATTACTTTGTGACAGGAAGGAAAATGAACTCCTAGAAGCAGTTCAAGCTAATTGCAGTCCATCCTTAATCTGCTCCTGATCACCATCAGTTCCGCAGCCGTGAGCACCCGGTAAGAATAAACTTATAAACCCAGTTTCATGTATCAAACTCTTCTTTCAGCAAATGGCTCTCTCTTTATGCCCTTCTCACCATCCCTTTTGAATTTTACAGGTCAGACTAGCGAAGATACTGGATGGTGATTGGTGATTTGCGGGTTCAGTTCCTGAAGTTGACTCATGTCGGTTGCATCATCATCAAATAATAGAGTAGGGGGCTTGGTCAAGTGGTTCAGCTCTTGGAATGTAATGGAATGGTTTCATTATGTTCTCATCACCATCAGGATTTGTTAACAGACAATAAGTCTGCACCAAATCCAGGCGCGACATTATGGAAAGTTCCTACCGAGCGACTTTGTATGTACAGACTTGTTTGAGAAAGAGGTCTCTGGAAATGGGAATGGGGTGGGAGCCCGTGCAATGGACCAAATAATGTGATGAGATCTGTACCATGTCAATCCCGCCTGTGATTTTATAGAAGCAGAAAACCAATGGTTCCAGTGGAAGGAACTCTGGCAACAAGTCATTCGTTTTAGTTTTGTCCTATTGTTGAGATCAATCTGTAAATGTAATTCGTTCCACAATGCCCAATTTTCCAATAGGGTTATCTCTCAATGCCATTGCTGTGACTTTTTTCAGATTATGGTTAATGCATAGATTGTTTAATATGCTTCTATATTCCAAGTTAATCACATATTTGAAGTTGGAGAGGGTTCACAGAATGAGATCAACAATGCACAAGTCTGAAACAGAAAAGTTGCATGATATATAATCGTTTAATCAAAGATGATACAAGAAAGTGCAAGTTTGTTCAAGAGCATAAACAAAATCAGAACTATGAATCCCAATAGGGAAGCTGAACTCTTCCACATACATGCTAGTACAATTAACCCTGGCTAGCAAAAATTGAAAACAACGTTACTATCACTTTCACAGTATTCTGTTCAGAGGCGTCCCATGTTAGAGGCATAAATTGCTTCATTTTTTTGGAACCACAACCTGCAAAACTCTGCCAAGGCCAACACCACATAAACCCTTGACTACTTGGTTTCACCTGAAAATGATAACAAACTCGAATTGCATCAATTATGAAGCATCCGAGATTGTTAGAGTCCGCATTCCAATTTCCAAATCGACCCTGCAGCAACCATGAATCGACACCACAGGGAACTAAAACAATCCGACTCATTCGCCAACATCCTCGTTTACACATCCCTCGCATTACCTGGCAACCTTTCAATTCAATGGCCAAAGTCGCTCTGCACCGCTTAGAACTTGGTTTCAACGATTGCAACAGTGACAACCCAAACTTAGGAGAAGGACGGAGAGGGAAGGCGACTCTCTTCTACTCGGATTTGGGATCGTCTGCTACCTTGCCGACGACACTGTTCGATTGAGACAGGCGAAGACGTCGGATTCCTTTGGCTCGGTTCTACATAACAAATGCAGGAGGAAACAAGTATACACGGGGATGGGGTCGACGAATAACAAATCGCCGGAACTGATTTTTGAGAGACCGCTGGAGAGGGAGATCGAGGAAGTTGATTTTGGTTCGTTTGGTAAGATCCCTGTTTTACTGTTTTCAGATTCCGACGGGAGTTCTCCGTTAGTTTGGGAGAGGCCGGTTCGCCATCAATTTTGGACCGGTTAAATTAAACCAACCCAGCCTGCCACATCAGTTCCACGTGGAAGAATCATAAAAGGCGTCACCGGTACCGCACTTTTTACTGCGGCACCGTAGTATTAGCCATATCTATGAGGAATAGATTATGTAGTCATTAGCATGTTATGAGCTACAAAATTATTTTTTATGACTATAATTTATAGTTCTAAGATGCCATTGTTGTACAAAAAATAAATAATAAGCGTAAAGTTGAAATAATTTACTTATAATGAGATATTTAGGTTATTCCTCGTGAATGATTTGTTCTTTTATTTCAATTCTAAACAAAATGTGAGATTTATTAATACCTAAAGTTCACGAATTTGAATGCAAAAAATTCCACATATTTGGCGCCTTTCATTTTGCCCAACAAACAATAATTTTTGGACAAATCCTTCTTATATTGAATTTAGCGATCAAATCGATCCATAAAGCAAGTGACACCTTATATCTCTTTCTTCCAAATGAACCAAAAACTAGTTTTGGATTGTTATAGTTTTCTTTTTCCACGCATAATCGCAAAGATCTTCAAAATTTCATAATGAATTATGAATGCCAGATGGGAATAGTGTAAAAACGATGAGAGGGTTTGCATCAGGCCGATACGAGATCTTGGTGGCTTGCCAGTTTTAGAAAAGGGGCCGGAAAAAGATCTCAAATTCAATTATGAGTCGAGCGCTGGCCGCTGGGCCGTTGACGCAACACGTGTCAGAAAAATGGCCGACGTTGATTGTCTTGAAAGCATCGACCGTAAAGCCAGCGGACACCTGTCCCGCCGTATCACATGTCCTATTCTCCCTGGTTGGTTTCCTTTTCCCAGCCGATTATTCTCACCGGCCGGCGGATGCGGGTCCCGTTTCTGTGTTTGGGTCGGGCTGCCCAATCAGGATCGGGATTTAGATCACGATGAGACGTGTACGAGTGTGACGTCATGCTCCGGTGGTGGCCACGTGGTGAATACGTGGAGGGTTGCGAAACCTTGGACGGTTTGGGCGTTTTAAATTTTCCGGGTCGTTGCTTTGTCGGAGTCAAGAAATTGGGCCCTCAAAATTATTAGGAGAAAAGAAAAGGTCGAACAGCAACATGGAATATGAAATTAATTTTGATTTAAGAAACTGTAGTAGATATTTGAGGTGAGTTCATCACTGTGGAACATTTCCAATGCATGAGGACGGTTGGATTAGTGGACTTTGTTTTCCCTTTTCCACATACAAGGAGACTTTTTAGGTCAAGAAAAAAGAAACCAGGGCAGATTTGGAAGTTCATGTTTATCGTACGTAGGAGTAGATGAACATGAAACTGTAGTTTGGGAGTTTCTGTTGCTTTATTATCTTCTCAATATGCATAAGTAATACTAACCAATCACTCATGGGTTAGTCTCTGATAGGTTTGAATGAGCATAATGGCGTGAGAATGCATCGTACCGTGCTAACCATTAATGAGATAAATGGCCTGCTAAGAGCTTGGTCCGATGGATATGAGAGATTGTAATTTGTAGTCGCAGGCCGCAGTTAGTAATTGTTCAATTAAATCAGCTTTTTTGCTTGATATTTTCTTTTGAGTGGGGATGAATTTGGACCTTCAGAAGAATACATGTTTGTTATCAAGATATCACCACCGTACGTAGTATCACTTCATACTACCACCACACACCACATCATACTACCATCTAAGGCTGGCTATTTGATCCGGACTGTTTGGTTTTACTCGAAACCGGACCGTATAATCCGGACCGGGATCGGATTGGGACCAGATAGCAAACAATTCAATCTCATATTCGGGGTTAGATTTGAGGTAAAAAAACCAGGATAAAGACCGGATAACAGACTCCCAACACCTAAAATCAAGATCAAATTGGGATCGGACCGGATCAAGACCGGACCGAATCAAGACCGAATTGTATCTAATCCAATCTTTGGTCCTTATATTCCCGGAAAGACCGAACTGGGACCGGATCAATTTGGTCCAATTTATCCGAACCTGACCGTATAGCCAACCCTACTACCATCACACACCACATCATACCACCCAATAGTACTACCATCATAGCATATTGTACGCCATCATCTTACAATTATCATAATAGTATAGTATGGAATTATTGATAATGAAAATAAATTTTATTTGAAATTATATGAGAATGGATATAATATTCCGGATTGCACTAAATCTAATTAAAAAAAGAATTGAAATGAAGGAGATGTTTATAGTTCATTCAACATCGATGTGAGATTGACAAGGTTTATTAAATATCACTATGAATCCACTTAAGCTATCAAATGATGAGTTATGTAGCTCTAATTAACCAATGAATATGCACTGGAACTCAGGCCCAAAGTGAATTAGTGATTTAAATAATGGCTAAATTGCAAGTTTGGTCACTTGAATTACTAGAAAATTTCACGTTAGCCACTAAAATTACTTTATTCCATCCGTAGTCACTTAAACTAGGTTAACAGTTCAAGTTTGGTCACTGACCGTTAATCTCCATTAACTTTTGATGATGTGACGGTCAACTCTTAGAATTGACCGTTAAATGAGTGACGTGACAATTAAAAAAATAAAATAATAAAAAATTTAATTTTTATTAATTTTCACCTCAATATTACAATAAATTTAAAAAAATGTCACAAGGAGACACGTCTACTCCTCCCTCCTTTCACCTCTCTTCATTCTCATCACAGTTTCAATCGTCATAACCTCTATTTCCGCCGTCGATGACAACACCCACGCTTCTTCTCCGCTCCCGCTCCGACCACTTCAGGCCCTGTTTCAAACGTGCCCCCCCTGACAGTTACCGGCTCAATTGCGGATCGCCACGGTGTCTGTGGATTCCATCCCTTCCTCCCTAAATCTTCGCTCGGATTCCGCCATCTCGCCTGCTTCATTCCCTCTGTTCCGCAACGCCAGGATCTTCACCTCTGTATCAAAATTCACGCTCTCAATCACTCGGCCGGGGAGGCATTGGCTTCGCCACTACTTCTACCATCTCCCCCACCCTCATTGCCCTCCTTCCTCTGCCTTCTTCAGCGTCGCCACCGCCCTCCTCTTGCAAGACTTCTCCGTCGCCGAAAACTCCCCACCCGTCTTCAAGGAATATCTCCTCGACGTCACCGCCGATCAATTCGCCCTGTTTTTCAATCCCAGAACCTCCTGCGCATTCCTCAATGCCCTGGAGCTCGTCTCTGTTCCCGACGGGCTTATCTCCGACGAAGCGTCCCCGGTCCCCGGAAGTACCGGTGTTGCTTTCAAGGGTTTGTCCAAATTCGCGTTTCAGGTTTCTTACAGGCTGAATGTTGGAGGGCCGATCATAACTCCGGCCGATGATGCATTGACAAGGACATGGACGAAAGATACTCCATACAACGATTTCCCTCAAGGAGCTCAGAATGTTTCTGTATCGCCAGATACCATCAAGTTCCCCATGTCCTCCGGACCTGCAGCAGCGACGCCTTACATTGCGAATTGCGCCGAGCTTGGTCTACGCCACTGCAGATCAAATGGCGGATTCAGAGACCCAAACCCAGAACTTCAACTTGACATGGAAGGTACCTGTTGATTTGGGATTCTCCTACCTAATCAGGCTCCATTTCTGTGACATTGTGAGCAAGTCTCTCGACAGTCTGTACTTTAATAAAGTTCGTCTTCTTGTGACATATTTTTTGTTTTAATTACTTTTTAATTTATTGTAATAATGAAGTGGAAATTATTAAAAATTAAATTCACTCATTTAACGGTCAACTATAAGAGTTGACCGCCACATCAGCAAAACTTAACGGAGACTAACGGCCAGTGACCAAACATGAACTGTTAACCTAATTTAAGTGACTACGGATGGAATAAAGTAATTCTAGTGGCTAACGTGAAATTTTCTAGTAATTCAAGTGACCAAACTTGCAATTTAGCCTTTAAATAACTCTCTTCTATTTTGTCTAGAGAGAGCCGGAAAGTTTAGTAGTAGCAGTTTAGGTCTGTGTTTGGGAGAGATCATCCATTTTGACGAATGGTAGATTGACAGAAGGGTTAATGCTATATGATAAAATTACCCCATTGACTTTGTGCTTGTGGTCATCATCAACCATCTTTTTTTACCATACAATTTTGAATTGTTCTTAAAATTTTAGAACTTTGGGACGCTTAAATTGTGTTATGATGATAAATTAGAGGCATAATCAAGGTGCGCAAGTTTGTTTGCTTTAGTTATACATATCGAGAACTAGTAGTTACATAAAGACCTTATATCTACCTCTATCTTCAATCTAAACTTCTATGGTTTTCTTGCTCATGTGATCCATCAACTCACCATTCTCTAGCCATCATCCATTGGATGCTAGCTAGTCATGACAATTGAGTTTACAAACATTATTGAGATTCAGTGTGACACCATAGAGAATGTCATCCCTATCTTTCTGGACAGGTGTGCGACGACTTAGTTAACACTCTTATTTATCCAGTCCTGGTTGTTGCAGAAGTGAAGACATACCTTATGATTATGGATGTCAATCCATCCCGTAACCATGGGTACCCTACCCGATCGTAACCGGTCAATGAGGGTAATTACTCGCTTTGACGGGTTAAGGAGCGGGTACGGGTAATACTCGGTTTCAAAATAAAGGGTAGGGTACGGGTATGGTAATCGATAGTACCCGTCCGGTTATACCCGCCTCGCTAACCAAAGGGTCAATTTCCCTTGAGAAATTTAGTTTAGCTTGAGAAATTGAGTTTAATTACCATTATTGATGATGAAGATGTAGACGATTATTATGTTTGTGTGGATTGTAGAAGCAAGAACAATTATTATGTGTTTGCTGATTTTATTTGTGTGGATTGTTGAAACTAGAACAGTTACAAGTATTGAGAATTTTTAATGGACAACTGTATATATGTGCATATATGTGTATAAGTTCATAGTTTAGGATTCGTACCCATGGTTACCCGAATACCCGTGGTTACCCGGTGGGTAGGGTATGGTAATATAATTTTCATACCCGATGATTATTTGGTCGGGTATTTTAGAAAGCTCTACCCGACGGGTTAGGAGTTGGTATAGGGAAAACCCGCACCAGACCCTACCATTGCCATTCCTACTTATGATGCTAAAATTCGCTTGAGATATGGAGTTCCCGTGATTTTCCACTTTGATTGCCAACCCTTATTTCAAATATACATTGTGCTTTGTTCAATATAATGCTATGCTTGGATCATGGATGATTGTATAGCAAAGGTCCTTCATGCAATAAACAAGGTATTTTTTTTTCCTATGCACATTATGGTCTACATAATAAGCAAATGGGTTGTGGTGGTCATTCAACTATATTGGTGTGAATCTTTATTGGAATCAGAAGTAATCATAAATATTAATCTGATGCGATGATGATAGTCTTGCTCGTAGTGTAACCATATTGAATAGCAAGCAATGTTCATCGCTTAAACTCGTAGAGAACTCACATTGTCTTCTTCATGAAAATCTTGCATCCAACTCCTTATAAAGAGTGTGCATATTTGGTGAACATGACGAAGATAACATGTAAACAGAGAATGACAGTTTGGAGTAGAATATCACCACGCCGCTCACAAGGTAGTGCGAAAAAGATGTATGAGATGGTTTGTGCATGTAACAAAGGCAACCTAAAATATTTCAATTCAAATGGTAGATATTAGACCCACTTGTAACATATTTTACTTGCTGGCACTACTTTGTAATTGTGTTGGTCACTCGTGTAATTGATGAAGGGTGACTCTAGCTTTGCCAGCCGAACCCTACATATATAAATACGGGGTGAATGGCGGCTAGATGTAACAAAAGCACAACACTAGTGAAACTTCTACCTTGAGAGCTACGCTCTCAGTGGACTAGTCTCGTATCTCGGGGAAACCACGTTAAACCTCTGTGTTCGTTACTTTTCCTCAATCTTAGTTTCTATATGGTATCAGAGCGGTGAGATTCAGCATCTTGTTCAAGCTTCATGGGCAAGGACAAGGACACTAGCAGCGGCAAGTCCGTCGAACCTATTGGCGACGGCAGCATCTCGCTTAGCTCTCCTCTCTACCTTCACCCATCTGAAAACCCTGTGCAACTGTTCGGTAGCGACCTCTTGAGTGACTCCAACTATGGCGAATGATATCACCGAAACCCTTATTGCCAAAAATAAATTGGCCTTTGTGGACGATGCCCTGCCTCGCACGAAATATGAATCCCCCTCTCACCGGGAGGCGTGGGATCGCTGTGATGCAACAGTCAAGGGCTGGTTAAAGACTGCGATGAACCGCGAAGTCCATATCAGCGTCCCCACCGCCACCACAGCTCGTGCTATCTGGTTGGATTTGCAACGCCGCTTCAGCAAAGGCACGGCGCAACGGGCGTACGAATTGCGGCGGACCATCAGCAATTTTCGGCAAGTTAAGTTGTCTGTCTCTGCTTATTATACTCATCTACGTACGACCTGGGATGAGATGCAGACGATAGGGGGAGTAGCGCGCTGCACCTGCAATTGGATGCAAGCGCAGCAGGACAGCATCGACACAGCGCGCCTTTTCGAGTTTCTTATGGGACTTGATGAGGCTTACTCGGTGGTTCGGTCTCAGATACTCAGTACTCGGCCTACTCCATCCCTTGCAGATGCTTACCAAATGGTTGCTGCAGAAGAGCAGCACCGTCACATCACTAGCAATCGTCGACCCATCGTTGACACTGCAGTTTTCCAGGCCCAGACCGAGCAGGAGCCGCCTAAAGATCGTGAGCGCCCACGTTGTGCACATTGCAACAAATTGGGGCACACGAAAGAGAAGTGCTATCGTCTGCATGGGTATCCAGCTGGGCATCTCCAAGCCAAACAGGCTGATGAGCGTGCCGCGCCAAGCAATCGGCGCACCAAGGCTGCACATGTAGAACCCGACACCTCATCTCCCATCCCTAGGCTCTAGGCTGCTCAGTTTAATCAACTCAAGGAGTTTCTTAGCTCCACCGACAGTCCTACAGCTCCCACGGCTCACATGGCGGGTAACTCTCCTGATCTCGATACTTGGTTAATTGATTCAGGGTGTAATGAGCACATAGTTCGTAATGCTAGTTGGATGGATAGGATGGACAATCATTTTGATCACACACAGGTCAGAATTCCGGATGGGACAGGAATTCCGGTAAAAGGGATGGGTTCTGTTAAGCTCACAGATTCTATAGTACTTGACCGCGTCTTGCACGTACCGGCTTTCAAGTGCAACCTTTTATCGGTCAGTCGCTTAGCTTGTGACCATAACGTGGCAGTGACCTTCTTGCGTGATTTCTGTGTGCTTCAAGTCTTACCTTCCAGGACGCTGATTGGAGTGGGTCATCTTAAAGATGGATTATATTACCTGCACCGCTTCGAAGTGACAACTCCTGTGCGGACTTGGCCGGCGGCGTCAGCAGTCACTGCTTCTGAACTATGGCATGCACGTCTCGACCACTTGTCTTTTGATAAACTTGTTCATTTGAAGACTTCTCTGGGTTGTACCGTTTCTTCTCGGGATTCTTTGCATTGTGATTCCTGTTTTCGAGCCAAACAGACTCGCATCCCTTTCCCTTCTAGTTCCATTAAAACGACTGAATGTTTTGCACTGATTCATATGGATATTTGGGGGCCGTATCGGACACCTGCTCTTGATGGTTCTCGCTATTTTTTTACTATTGTGGACGATTTCAGTCGTTCTACTTGGGTTTATATGATGAAGTATAAGTATGATGTCGAACGCTATCTCAGACTGTACTGTAAGCTTGCTCATACACAGTTTCGGAAAACCGTCCGCCGCATACAGGCAGATAATGGTCCGGAATTTCAGACCACCTCCCTCCGAGCTTATTATGAGGAACACGACATCGTTCTTCAGACCACTTGTACTGACACCCCACAGCAGAACGGGGTTGTTGAACGCAAGCATCGTCATTTATTGGAGACAGCCAGAACGTTGATGTTCCATGCAGGACTTCCCATTCGTTTCTGGGCCGAATGCGTTTTGACAGCAGCTTATTTGATCAACCGCATGCCCTTAAATTCTATTTCTGGGAAAACTCCTTTTGAGATCCTCTTGGAACGCATCCCTACCTACTCACACCTCCGCAGTTTCGGTTGTCTCGTTTATGTCAAAGACACCCATCATGGTCTGGACAAGTTTGTCGAGCGAGGTCGTGCGGGAGTGTTCATTGGTTATCCAGGCTCGCAGAAGGGATACCGGGTTTATGATTTTCGCACTCGAAAGATCATTGTATCCCGTGATGTTCACTTTATTGAACAGGTGTTTCCTTTCCTCCTCAAATCGGCGGCCGAGCGTGGTACACTCTCGTCCTCTCTCCCCTACGTGGACACTTGCACTCTTCGTCGCATGCATGAAGGGGGAGATGAGGTGGGAAATGTCGCTCCCTTCCTTGCCGATGACGACCCTGCAGATCACATGGACCCGGATGATCAGGCTGACCGCATGACACCTCCTGGGACCATAAGCAACCCGGATAATGATGAGACCTCCGAGTTCGCATCACCTCTTGGTTCGCCTCCAGCTGTCGACCCTCTTGTCTCCCCGCCTCCGGTCGCGCCTACATCGACCATCCCTCCTGTCGAGACTGAGCTCGCCCATGGGAGTGATCCTCCACCTCAGCCCGCTCCTCGTCGTAACCCTCCTCGGGATCGGCGTCCTCCGACAAGCTTGGATGTTTACGAGGTAGAATACCCGAACTCCTCCTCTCATAATGTAGATTTTCCTATGTCAAATTGTGTCACTTATCACCGACTTTCCAATGCTCACCGTGCTTTCTTGGCTGTTATGTCCAATCTTGGCGAGCCTCGTACCAATGCACAAGCGGTTCGGTTTGAACAGTGGCGGGCAGCAATGATGAAGGAAATTGCCGCCCTTGAAGCACAGGGCACATGGACTCTCGAGGAGCTTCCTCCTGGCAAGCGGGACATCGACTCAAAATGGGTTTACAAGATTAAGTACTATCCTGACGGTACTGTGGAGCGCTACAAGGCTCGTCCCGTTGCCAAAGGGTTTACTCAGCTTGAAGGTATCAACTTTCACGACACCTTTGCTCCCGTTGCTAAACTGGTCACAGTTCGTGTTCTTTTGGCATTGGCGGCTAAAAGGGGTTGGCCCCTGCACCAACTCGACGTCAACTACGCATTCCTCCATGGTGATCTCGAAGAGGAGGTTTACATGAAGGTGCCCCAGGGTTTTGCTAAAGAGGGCGATACACGCGTCTGTCGGCTTTGCAAGTCCCTTTATGGAATCCGCCAAGCCTCGCGGAATTGGTATGCTAAATTCACTCAAGCCTGACTGGAGTTTGGTTTTCAGGTGTCCAAAGCTGATCACTCGCTTCTCACTCATGGGTCCTCGGGTGCGTTTACGGAGGTCCTCATTTATGTAGATGATGTGATCATCACTGGTGATGACTTGGGTTTCATTCAGCGTGTTAAAGCCTACCTGCATGAGCGCTTCAATATCAAGGATTTGGGTCCTTTGAAGTATTTCCTCGGGATTGAAGTAGCTCGTTCTCCTGATGGGCTCGTTCTCAGTCAACGTAAATACACCCTAGACATTTTGGCGGATGCGGGCATGACTGCAGCTCGCCCCAGCGGGTTCCCTATGGAGTAACAACATAATCTCACCCGGGCGAATGATGAACGCACTGAAGATGTAGCTTCCTATCGACGACTCATTGGACGACTTCTATATCTTACTATCACTCGTCCGGACATCGCCTACAGTGTCAACCTTCTCAGCCAGTTTGTTCAGTCTCCTAGTCCTGATCATATGGCCGCTGCGCACCGGATCCTTCGTTATTTGAAGGCCGCTCCTGGCCAAGGGCTATTTCTCCCATCCGATGGTCCTCTGGAGTTGGTGGCTTACAGTGACGCTGATTGGGCTGGTTGTCAGTTCAGCCGTCGCTCTACCACAGGCTACTACATCCAGTTTGGTGGGGCTCCCATTTCCTGGCGCGCCAAGAAGCAGCAAGTGGTCGCTCGCTCTTCTGCAGAGACTGAATATCGAGCCTTGGCTAGCACCACTAGTGAGATTCTATGGCTCCGTTTTCTTCTCCATGAGTTAGAGGTACCTCAACATACTCCCACTCGCCTTTATTGTGATAGTCAGACTGCTCTTCACATTGCAGCCAACCCAGTCTTTCATGAGCGAACGAAACACGTCGAGATGGACTGCTACTTTGTCCGTGAGCGTGTGACTTCGGGCGACATCCTACCCCAGAAGATCGGCACTCACTCACAGCTGGCCGACATATTCACCAATGCTTTGGGCACTGAATAGTTTCACGCCTTGTTGTCCAAGCTTGGCATTCGGGACCTTCATGCTTCAGCTTGAGGGGGAGTATTAGACCTACTTGTAACATATTTTACTTGCTGGCACTACTTTGTAATTGTGCTGGTCACTCGTGTAATTGATGAAGGGTGACTCTAGCTTTGCCAGCCGAACCCTACATATATAAATACTGGGTGAATGGCGGCTAGATGTAACAGAAGCACAACACTAGTAAAACTTCTACCTTGAGAGCTACGCTCTCCGTGGACTAGTCCCGTATCTCGGGGAAACCACGTTAAGCCTCTATGTTCTTTACTTTTCCGCAATCTTAGTTTCTATAGTAGATGACTATAATATAATGGAAATGTGGATCTCCATAAAAAATTATCTGCGTGACTGTAATATCAATTTTTTTGTGAAAAGAATATGATTCGACTTTCTTAACACATATACCATGAACATTTGATAAACTAAAATCCTACCTTGAGATCTATCGAAGTTGTGCAATTTTGTATGGTTTTGTCCTCTGAGCCTAGAGTACTAAGGGTTGGCTAACTATGGTCCTCTTGGGGCACCAAGTTTGGACTTATCCCTAGTGATCTAACACCTTTTTTCGCATGAGTTTGTCATGCTCTCGGGACTAACATATTTTAGGCTTTGGTCACCATCGTCGGAGAAACCAAATTGCCATCATAATACAAAACATTCTTATAAAAACAATGAAACAAAAATCCAAATGTTCATAGTAGCCTAGGCCTAAGCTAGTAGGCTACCTATAAAGCTGTTAGATCTCGTCTCTTCTCATGAAGTGAACAATGATTAACGAATGAAGCCACACTTAATTAAATAGTGAAGCTAATTAGTCCTTTAACCCACTCACTAAAACCTACTCATTCAGCTTTTTAAGCACCCTTAGGGAGGAGTCACGGGCTGTATTAATAATGGATATTGACCAAGTGAGGAAGGGACAAGGCAAGGGCGGCGAGATAGGAAGGAATCGTTATAATTAAAAACGTCATTTGCAAATGACAACAAAAGAACAGTATCGAGAAAATTGAAAAAACGCAATTTAGGTAGTGATGGCAATTTGAACTCATCACATGAGTATTATTCGACTTGTGATGAAGCGGGTATTACACGACTCGCAGTAGTGTGAGGCAGGTCATGGATATCTATATTCGTCCTCGTTTTTGGTCCATTCTATCTCAATTGTTTACCGTATTCATTCATACTTCTCCTTTCTCCTATTATGACTTTCTTCAGCTAATAAGACTAGATCTTTTAATTAGTTAAACTCAATTACTCATTATATTATCACTATTTTTAATTCATTAAGTGTTTTCTCCTTCGTTTTATGGTGAAAAGTAAATTTTTGCGTGTATTTTTTTCAAATAACATAAAATAGTGGGCCCACCCGTCCCGTCTCGTGCAATATTACCCGTCCCACCCCAACCCTATATTAAGACAGTATGATTATTGAGGTATCCGCTCCCGCTCCCATTGTCATCACTAGTTTAGTTTAGAGCCAATTAAACTAAATTAAATTCCATTTTCAAAAATAAACAAATCGTTTTTCTTCTTCTTCTAACAAAGCAAGTTGCCTTTTTTCCACAGTTCGGAAGGGTTGTCAGTTGTTTCCCTTTTCATCTTCATCTATATATTTATATCTTGTATTGCTCTCTCGCAGTCGCTTTATTCATAGTTTCATACCATAGTATTATATTGCTTTTCGAGTATAATATTCCCTCGAAATTTATTATACTTGCTTGACCTTCGAACCTTCGAAAGCCAACTCTCTCTCTCTTTCTACAAGGCTCTCCCAATCAACACCAGCTGACTGCTCGAGAAGGAGTCCGGCAATCTCAAGCTCGTTTCCTTTTTCCAGTATTCTTGACTGATTTTCTGTTCGGCTTCGGTTTCAGTAGCAGCTAAGCAAAACCCAGTTTGATGGTAAGTGGGTTGGCTGAATCTTCAGTCAGCTTTCCCCCTCCCCCTATCCCAATTGCTGATTTGAATGCTCAATTTCGCTTTTTTGTGCTTCTTACTTTCTCTGCTTGTCTGCAAGTGCCCTGTTTTGTTGCTGGGGAAGTTCTTGATTGGGTGAATTGAGGGGTTTCGTTTTTGCTGGACAAGGGTTTTGTCGTTTTCTATTTCCCCCCTTCTTTTTAACAGGATTTTGGGAGCTTGTAAGTTTGGATGATGAACGGGATCGAATTCTGTGTTTCTTTTGTGATTTGGGTCTTTGAAGTGTAGAGGGAATTCAGATTGGGAGGATAAAATGAAGTGGAAGGAAGAGGAAAAAAGAGCTTGTATTATCGGCTTTGCTTCCTTCAGAGGTTTACTTGTGGTTTGGAACTTAATTTGAAGAGACTTTACTCACAATTCATTGGAAGGAAATCTTTCTTTTTCTATCTATCTATCCACAACTTGCTCTCACGTTTAAAAGGGGGGAAAAGTAATGAATTCTGTTGCATTCAAGTTGGGACTTGGGGTTCCCCTTCCTCAACAGATTTTTCCCATCATCTAGCTAGCTGCCCATCCTGTTACCTGAGCTGTCCACCCTCCACTTGAAAGTTGTTTTGGTTGGATCCAAGTTCCTTTCTCGCTTTCACATTTTACTTTTGAATGGTTCATGCACGAAGGAGAAGGACAATCACACTTCTCCTCTTTTTCCTTGAACTGGAAAGGCAATGTTAAATGTCAAGTTTCAGGCTTTCCTCGTGATTGTCTAACCCTCTTCCCTTGATTGTCCTTCTCTCCATCTGTCCCTATTGTCTTTAAGAAAGACAAGTTGATTCCTTTTTCCCTTTCCTTTTTCAGGACGAAAATTGATAGAGGCTAACCCATCAGGGAAGGTCAGCTGACCTACTAACTCTCATCAATTTACCTTCCTAGTTATGGTTATCATTATGAGATGAAAGAAACATTTCATCTGTGTTTATTGTTTCTGTTGTACATGTCTTTCAACAGATTTTCGGAGCCGTTGAATTGGTAGAGCGAGTGTGCCAGAGGGCTGTGGACTCTGCTCGTGAGTAACCTGCTACTTAATGCTTTATTAGTTGGGACATTAAGGCCTTAAATATACTTCCTTTGATGTAATGCTCTTTCGGTTAATAGCTAGTCCTTCTTGTTGCGATTATGTGGCTGGAAATTGTCTACTATACAATGTGCTTGAGCCACCGCCAGTTTCTCTTGTGTCTTAAATGTTTACTTAAGCTCAGGACCTTATTCTTTGTTGTGCTGGTTGTTTTTTCCTGTTTGGAATAGTGTGTACAGTGATCTTCAGGAAATGGGATGCATAGCGTCTACACCTAAGGATGCTGGTGGAAACAGGAGGAGACCTGCAAGTATAGGAGAGCTTTCTGTCTATGTTCCGGGGTTTCGAATACCTAAACCTGTTGATTTCTCTCAGGCTCTCGGCGACCAGTTGTCGAAGAACTTAGTCGAACGACTCTCTGCTCTAAGAACCCGGATTGTGGTTATGGCCGGCCAAGAAGCACCGACTGTTACTAGAACACGAAGGAGAAGTGCTACACAACATGGTAGCTTGAACAAGACACTCTCTTCGCTGGAATGTTGTAATTGTGTAAGGTTTGCAGTAGAGGTTCCCTTCATCTCTAACATTTTGTTCTTTTTCTCTAGGCGGTTCAACATTGGCTGATCTTCATCAGGCTCTTGAAGATTACTTGCCTGTTCTTTTGGGTTTAGTTAAAGATGGTAGCCAACTACAACACAATATCCAATTTGTGTGGGTAAATCAAGAGGATGAGGCAGAGGTGAGTGCTTGGGAGATATTTATTTGTGTTAATGATATCATGATCTTTTATGGTCTCCATTTTTTTTCTTTTGCATCTAAATATACTATGACCATTTTTGCAGGAGACGTCAATGTCAAATGCATGGTATGAGGTACTGTCTGTTTTGCACTTGATGGCAGTTCTATCATTATCACAGGCAAACTTGTTACTTCTCCCAAGAACATCGGCCGATGGTTATCAGCCAAAAGTATCAGAAGGTTTGTACTCTTAAGGAAAGTCTGTCAGTGCAACGAACACGGAAAATTTGTGCTTGAGTTGTTATGTCTACCTCCTAAAACTTTCTAACCTAAAAGAATACTGAGGATTCTTTAGCCTCAGTTTCTCATTTTTTGGGGCAGCATCAATTTTTGTGTTGCTTGAGACCTTTAGCTACCTGTCTGCACTCTTTACCGTACTGTGAAATTGTTGACGTCGAGTAATCTGCATTCTTAATACGGAAATCACCATTATCAAAGTATTACATCAAGAAGAAAAGATAACAATGTTTACAGGGTTGAGCAGTGTGAATAACTGAATATGTCTGGATCCTCATGGTTGTCGATTTTACATTAAGGTTGAACAATAGGTCACAGCTGGGATTTTCAACAGCTTTCTTTGGAATTGAGCCTTGTATTAATAGGTATCGATTAATTGACATGTCTAATGTCTTGGAAAGTTTACTGTTAAGCTGCTTTGTGCATAGTTATTATGTGTCAAGCTTAAATTTGAGTTCAATGAGTGTTTGGATTTCCTTTTCTTCTTCTTCTTCTTTTTCTTCTTCCTGAAAACGTCTGTCTAGTATCTACAGTTCCTTGCTATAACCTATATTTCGAATGCTGTGCTCTGGATGTCTACGAGGATTTCATTGACTATATGAATGCCATGAAATCTTATGTTTAAGTTATCCAGTGAGCATGAGTATGCATATGGGCGTCTCTACATGTTTCTCTCTTGATTTCCAGTATATAGAATTCTGAAATATGCTGTCTTAATTGTCTCTAAAATTGAGTGGTCATCGGTTTCCTTTTTATAGAAAGCAGGCGGGCATCGGTTGACATATTCTTGAAGGCCGCTGGATACTTGGATTGTGCAGTTAGGCATGTTCTTCCACATTTACCTGCTGCGCTGAGGTCAATATAGTTCACAGACTTATATTAAATATTGCTACTTGTAATGTAACCTTCATTAGATTTTGAACATATTTGTTATTGCTAGTAGGAGAGACTTGCCAGTGGACCTTGCCGAAGGAGTTCTTCGAGCACTTTGTCTACAGGCCTTGGGGCAGGTACGAGCACACTTCAATGACTTGGTTATTAGCAATTGCTTCTGACTTATTTTCATATGGTGCTGTGCTGTGTATAAATGATAATATTGTATTGGAGATTAACAATCAGCTGTTAAGGTCTGAAGCAAGCAGACAGTTCAGTAGAAATTTGTATATATAACCATCCAGAGCAGGCATTCATTTAGGAAGAAGAAAGTATTACAATCATGGTCCATGAAACCGTACCGTATATCGTACCGGAAAATTCAGCGGTATGATATTTTATGATAAAACCGTGGTTTTACCGTAGTTGAACCGTTAGACCGTTAAATACTGCATACCGATTTAGCCTCCGATACTGGTATTTCATGGTTGAACCGTTGGTACGGTACGGTTTCATGGACCATGATTACAATAGGAGGGAACATGTGTGCACTCTTGAATTGAAGTTGCCTAAAGCTAGTAGGTATAGAACTTCAATTCCCAAGGCAGCAGATTCCGTGATGTCAGTGAAATAGACTAATCCTTTTGTGAAAATCAAATAGAATGTAGAAGTCTAGACCAGCAACTTGAATTCCCTGATCTCTAGCCTTCCAACTGTTCTTGCACCTTCTCTTCTCCATCTCACATCATGCAGGATACAGCTATGATTTCATTAGTATTAGTGTTGAAGTCATCACCTAATTACTGTTAGTCATGTCTTGGAGTCATTTCACGTGAGGAGCCCCTCAACCTGTTCTTCTATGTCAAATAAGATCCAGTTGATTGGTCAACTTGGTTTTTTTCTTCAAATCTGTCGGCAGAAGTGACTGACTGTGTTTTCGTTCCTGTCTGGGTAGACCGTTGATATCCAACTCGGGATGGCAATTGATAGTGCCAAAGCAACGCTGGCAGTGAAACGGAGGCTTGCATGCGAGATGGTTAAGTATTGGCAGCAGGTACTGCTTCAAAATTTATTACCTTAATTTGAGGTTGGTTTTTCTTTCAATTCTTCTTCTCGTGCTTCTTTTAGCTTATGGCTGAACTCCTCAAGCAAGCCATCCAAGATAATGCAGTTTCTAGTTCTTCGAACATTTCCCTTTTTTGTATG